TTTTCTTTTGTTCAGTCATGACACTTCCCTGTTAGTACTATGCTTTTCTGGAACTCAGAAAACTATAAATACAGCTACTCATGTACTAGATACAGGGGGAATTCAGATAGTTCACTCATTAATTTAGCTCTCGTCTCTTGTCTCAAAGTCCTCTAGTGTGAGGCATAGTTTTAGTCTTTGTCATTTTCTGTATCAGATTGTTTGTTGTGCACTTTGCAAAGTACACTTTCCATTATTCACATCACTCTTCCAAGGTCACAACTGTGCCAGAAGAACTCACACCTGTTCAGAACCACTCTAGTCTCCTAAGACTTGTAGTTTAGCTCCCCCTCAAACTTAACAAATCACCTGTGATCTTCTCTTAGACACTTCACAGGAGTTTCATCTAGAGCCTACTGTGAGGGGGGTTTCCATAGTTAAACAACACGAGTTCCAACAGTTCTCAGCATCCCAAACAGGTTTCTCAGACACCAGCCTGTAGGCTTAGGTCAACTCAGTCACAGTCAGCACCAGTACCTGTATTGAGCAGAACACACTGATCTGCTAGAATCCAATTGTACTACAAAATGTCTGATAGTCCAAACACTGGAAGTACAGAATCTGATATCACAGAAACCTTAGGAACACTATTGGAACAGCAGAGTGCTTGAGTTAGTAACGAAGAGGAGGAAGAAGAAGACCTTGTAGCAACATCACTCAATCCCCAAGTAATCAATTTCTGAATTCACAACAAACCACTGCATTTCATGTCCCTGGAATTGTATACAGGATTGCTAGCTACCCTGCAACCTTCCCAAATCACATCAACATTACAACTGACTGTAACTGGCACACTGTGTTGCAGAAGAGCACAGTTGTCTCTACAGGAAACAGAGACAGTCTAGCAGCTAGTATCTTCACTTGCACTAGCAACCAGTGTATTGTTAGCAACACAGCTCCAATTACAGTAACAGTAACTTGCAAGTGACATGCAACTACTTTAGCAACTACAAGTAAACGTGCAAATTCTATTGTAACCAAGACTGGCAGTGTAGCCAATAGCCACATTGAACATTCTGAAGCTGCCTTGTTGCAGAGCACATGATACACTGTCCTTTGACAGAACCAAGCCCTGAGAATTGCAGAGGTATTTTGCAGACATAGAAAGTCTTGCAAACGAATGCAACATAGCTAGAGCAGATATCATTCTGCTTGCAATGAAGTATGTGCCTGTAGAAGTGGAGGATTTGTGGGATAATGTGGATAAAACGTCTTAGGATACATTTAAGACAGGAGTAATTGTGTATTACCTGAGTCTCAAGACAAGAGCACAATATGCCAGAAGTGACTTGAATGCTGTAGTACAGAAATAG